TATTCATACATGACTCTATTCATACATGACTCTATTCATACATGACTGTTTACTCTAGGTCTGTGTGTGTGTAACTGAGGTCAGATGCAGTTAGAAGGTAAACCATGAGGGTCCACAGAGCCCAGATCAGTTTTCACATGCAGCTACTGTCAGTTAAGACTAATGTAAATCTCTTAATTTGGGGTAATTAACATTTTTACTTAGTATGCTGTGGTTATGAAGTGAACTCACCGCCACTAATAATGTTTGTTGTTACAGAATTATTGTCTGCTGCTCAAAGGCATGCAGTAACGCTGTCTGGTCTCCCATCCATCTCACGCACACTTGGACAGGTCTCCAGTCCATTACCGGGACACCTGGACATGTCTCCAGTGGACAGGTCTCCAGTCCATTACAGGGACACCTGGACATGTCTCTAGTGGACATGTCTCCAGTCCATTACAAGGACACCTGGACATGTCTCCAGTGGACATGTCTCCAGTCCATTACAAGGACACCTGGCCATGTCTCCAGTCCATTACAGGGATACAGAGACAAACATTCACTCTCACCCAAGGACAGTTTAGTTAGCAGGTAAGCTAACATGCTGTCTTTTGGTCTGTGGGAGGAAACTGAAGGAAACCCACACCCAACTCCACCCAGAAAGAAGACGATCCTGAGCCCTTCTCTTTGAGAGGCCATAGCTTTAACCACTTCACTGCCGTGCCGCCCAGCTACATTCACATGCAGAATAAACTTGTTCTCCTCACAATGGGAGCTGTTGGGATCTGGTTTGTCTGGTTCACAGAGACCCTTTGGTCCCAAGCATGAAGGTGTGAACAGACTGAAAGCTTCAGGGTTTCAGGCTGCTCCTTCTCGTTTCTTCAGAAGTTTCCAGGAATTCGTTCTTTCAAAAGCTGAAATCTGAGCCTTCTGTGTTTTTATTTTTTGTTTACCATAAATGGCTTCCCCCTCCCTCTTAAACCATCTAGAGTGTCCCTCCTCCTGGAGGTGGACAGATGAGTTTTGTCCTGAGCAGCTGCTGTCCTGCGTCTTGTCTCTTCAGGTTCTGGAGGTCAGAACGGTCCTCGCTGCTCTGAGCTGCAGACTCTGCACGGTTCAGTTTCATTAATATGTCCCCAGGATGACAGACATCTGTGCTCAGCCATCCTTTTCCACTAAGCAGCCAGGCAGAAGGAGAAATCCCACAAAACATGCTCTAGAGCAATGTGGATATCCTAACTGGGCCTTCCTGAAATAAGAGAAGAAACCCAAACAGGACTCCAGTCAGCCATCAGGTGAAAAGGAGGAACCCAGACCCAGACCAGTGGTCATTCCGTATGTTGAGGGGGTATCAGAGAAACTGAGACGTTTATTTTCTAAACATAACGTCCCAGTGGCTTTTAAACCCCAAAATACATTACGGCAAAGACTGGTTCATCCCAAAGATCCAGTCCCCCGGCACAAACAGAGCAATGTTGTGTATGTTGTTCAGTGTCAGGAGGGTGATCAGTCTTACATCGGGGAAACTAAACAGCCACTGGCCAAAAGGATGGCCCAGCACAGAAGATCAACATCATCAGGCCAGGACTCTGCGGTCTACACTCATCTCCAGGCCAGCGGTCACTCTTTCAGGGATGAAGATGTTCACATCCTGGACAGAGAGGAACGATGGTTTGAGAGAGGAGTAAAGGAGGCCATCTTTGTGAAAAGAAACCATCATTAAACAGGGGTGGAGGCCTCCGGGTTCAACTGTCCCCCTCTTACAATGCTGTTATTGCTAGTATCACTCAGCCTCCTGTGAATAATAAACAGCCATCAGTCCATAGTTAGGCTGATGGTCCTCCTTTATCATGTGAGCAGCTGGTTTTGACCGTCACCAACTGGTTGATCCACTATGAGAAGGTGCTATTTAAAAGACTGAGCTTGTTGCAGCTCATCAGACAGAAGAAGTCTTTTGGATAAAAGACAAAATGTTACAACAAACAAGAATCTGTCCAGAGGACCTGAATTATGGAGGGTGGAATGTGACTATATTATTAAATAAATAGATCATGAAAGTCAAACCCTCCAAACTGACAACCTTGTTAGATTTATCAGGAAGAAAACTCTCAATAAAACCCCATGTAGTGCTGAGGATGACCACCAGGGGGCAGTGACTCCTAACAGTTTGTTCTGTTTACAGCAAGTTTTCATTTATTTTATATTTAAAAAATAAAATACTTGTTTTAGGATACAGAGCTATAGCAGAAAGTCTGGCCTGATCTCACATTAAATATAGAAATTATTATCTCTCTATTGAATTTATTATTTCTCTCACTGACTAGATTTGTTTTAGATTTCTTCATGGTTTTTGTTTTTGTTTTAGGGGGGGGGGGATTTGACACAAGGAATGATCCTGTTTTGTTCTTTTGTTTGTTTATTTATTTATTTATTTATTTTTTTGGGGGGGGGGGTATTATTGCTGAAAGACAAAAGGTGATTTAACCTGTGTGTGTCTGTGCAAACCACGTGACAAATTGTGATGAAACTTTAGGAAAACAGATGTTCATAACTGATAAACTCAGAGCCAGCCTGATTCAAGATGGCTGCCACAGCTGGCTGACATCAGCCGACACAGCGCATGGAGCTGAAGTTTGGTGTGGTAGTAGGAGAGAGTCGTTCATAACAAACCTTCAGGTGTCAGACTGTCATGGAGCAGCAGAAGTGACGTAGCAGACTCACGTTCAGGATATGTGTGCGCGCGCCGTGGTGTTTCTGACAGACTGACGTCACGCCCACTCTGACCTTTATACAGGATGATCTCCGGGAGGTTCTGTTAGAACCAGCTGGTTCTGGATGGAGCTGCTCTGCAGCGTCATGGGATTATTAATCTGAAGATTTTCATCACTTCGTGAGAGCTGAGTCACAGAGTTCCTGTTTGGTGTGGTAGTAGCTGAGAGTCATCCCAGCACACTTGAAGATTAGCTGATCATGCGAAATCTGCCCTTGTCTGTCTGTTAGCAAAATATCTCATCAGCCATATGATGGATTGTATTAAACCTCATAATCTTTGGATGTGCGTCTAATTTTGCTGTCAACCCCATTCAAGATGGCCGCCACAGCTAATCAACCTCAACAAACAAACTGTGTAACGCTCAGCTGATGCTACAGACACACCCTGGACCTAACCCAGTCTGTTAGCAAAATATCTGCTGAACCACTGGGCAGATTTGAATGAAACTTGGAGGAACTTCTAAAACTCATGCGCGTGTCAGCCCGATTCAAGATGGCAGCTGAAGATGTGTGGTAGTAGCTGAGAGTCATCACCTCAGACCTGCTGATGTGACCTAATGTAACTCTGTTTTCTTCTCAGAGGGTGATGTGTGTGTGGCGGGCGACACGCATTAATTGAGCCAAAGAAGATTTTTTAATGATTTCACTTTGATTTGACTCAAACTAAACTCTGACTGGAGTCGCTTCGTTGAAACATGTTGAAACTTTGTTTGTTCACACTTTGCGGGAAATAACCTGAAGAAGCGGCTCAGGTTGTCCTGGCGGCTGCGCGCGCGCACAGAGACACACCTGCCGGGGTTAGGCCCCGCCCCCCAGCCTTAATAAAACCCCGGGAGACAAGAAGGTCTGTGTCAGTTCCTCCCGATCCACAAGTCCCGCAGACTGCGCGCTCCCACACGCACGGACCGCGGAGGTTTACAGCTCACACCTGAGGGGGCAGCCGGAAGTAGCGCGTGTCACCTCGGCCCCCACGCGCGGGTGCTGACATCCATGGAAGTGGCCGGCTTGTACGAGGAGGGCAGCTTCGGTATCCACGGCAGAGACGGCTTCTACTGGAGGCTGGGAGACTCCATGACGGAGCTGGGCCTGGAGGAGCGCGAGAGAGCCATCGACTTCAGCGCCTACCTGGACCCCCCCGCCCTGCACGGACCCCCCCAGCCGCAGGGGGACTTCTCCGACTTCCTCGGAGACAACAAGCTCAAGAGAGCCGCCGCGTACCAGACTTACAAGAACTACGAGCTGGAGGCGGCTCAGGAGCCGCGGGGAGCCCAGGCATACGCCCTGAGTTACCCCGAGCTGCAGGAGACACGGGTGGACAGCGTGCTCAGCCCCGAACTCACGGCGCACCGCTACAGGTCCGCCCCCGCGGACAGAGAGGACAGCCAGGAGGAGGCGAAGGTGGAGAACGGCTCGTCGGGCTTCGACATGAGGTACCTGCACTACCAGTCCACCAGCGGCAGTCTGGGGAACATCTCCACCGCCTCCTCCACCTGCTCCAGCCCGCCCGGGACTCCTGCGCCGTCAGGGAAGAGCAGGTCTCCGTCCCACAAGTCCAAGAAGCGGCTGGACAAGGACAGCGAGGAGTACCGGCTGCGGAGGGAGAGGAACAACCTGGCGGTGAGGAAGAGCAGGGACAAAGCCAAGATGCGCAACCTGGAGACGCAGCACAAAGTTCTGGAGCTGGCGGCGGAGAACGAGCGCCTCCAGAAGCGCGTGGAGCAGCTGTCACGAGAGCTGGCCACGCTGCGCAACCTGCTGTCCGCCACCGGACCGTGTTAGTCCGCCGGCCCGGCCCGGCTCGGCCCGGCACCACCAGTTTACAGGGACTCTTTGAATGAGACTGAGCCAAAGGTGCGCGTGGATTGCGCAACGTTCCCCCTCCACACGCGCGCGCCCCTCTTGATTCCACATGTGTCGGTGTGTGTTTGTGTATTTCTGAACACTGTGTGTCTGCAGCAGTTGGGGGGGGGGGGGGGGGCTCGTGCTGCAGTGAAATGATGCAACTCTTTGTAACAGTGTTGGCAACGAATGAAATAAGTCTAATTATTTAATATTAAAAGGTGAAATGCTTTAATTGTACTTGATATTTTATTGAATTAAACAGATTTATACTTTGTTTACACAATGTCACGTGACTCGTTCCTTCCTTTTTTTGTCTTTTTGCCACAAACTGTGCAGAACAGGTTAAAGTTACAAGATTCTGCAGAGAAGAAGTCACGGAGGGAAACTGCACATTTCAGGATAAATGTGGTTCTGCAGGATATTTCTGATGGAAAACGTGGATTAAGAAAAATAAATCAAACTTTGGGACATCCAAACAGTTTATTACCATATTTTATAATCATTTATAGAGCAGTAATTCAATAAACCAAAAGAATGATCCACAAGAGTGTCATTTTTAGATGATTATTAGTGTCTGGATCAGATTTAATTATGAGTCCAGCCTCGTGCTGGTTTCTGTTTTGAACTTGATGATTTGACACAAACTCAGATCCTGAAATAAATCCAGAGGTTTGAAAGTGATTCTGCTGAGAGCAGCTCCTCTGCACCATGTTCCTTTATCTGCAGCTCTGTCAACAGTCTGCTCAGTCCACTGGCCCACAGGGACGGGTTCAAGGTCGCCTGCAAATTAATAAGCAACTAACCTGCTCACACACTCAGGTCACAGCTACACACTCCGCCTCGGGTCAGACCTGGGAGGGGTCTGGATCAGACCTGGGAGGGGTCTGGAACCTGAGTAGACCTTGTTTAACCCCCACGTTGTCCACAGTGGGTTAGGGTAGAGAAATTAATGAAAAATGAATGGAAGCCAATGCAAAGTCCACGTAAAGATATGATAAATCTGTGTGTGTGTGTGTGTGTGTGTGTGTGTGTGTGTGTGTGTGTGTGT